TCAAGCTTTTGATAAGGTTTGGCATAAAGGACTTCTTTATAAAATTAAACAAATATTACCACCCTTCTTTCGAATACTTACATCATACTTGGAAAACCGACAGTTTAGAACAAAAGTAAATGGAGAAATATCTAAAATGCATCCCATTAAGGCGGGAATTCCACAGGGCAGTGTCCTGGGACCTTTATTATATATATTATATACTTCTGATCTACCAACTTCGCATAACGTAACAATTGGCACATTTGCAGATGACACAGTAGCACTTACCAGTCACAAACACATTAACATAGCTACACAACAACTCCAAGATTATTTGTATGAGCTTGAAAACTGGCTAAAACAATGGAAAATAAAAATTAATGAAAACAAGTCAACCCACGTAACTTTCACTTTACGACGAGAAACACCACCACCAATATATATCAACAATGAGGAAATACCCAGGACTAAAACAACCAAATACCTAGGGCTACACCTGGACCAAACCCTGTGTTGGAAAGAACACATCACCAAAAAAAGAAAACAAATACAACTAAGACAAAAAGAAATCAATTGGTTAATTGGAAAAAACTCCAAACTGTCAATAAATAATAAAATTCTAATTTATAAAACAGTTATTAAACCAATATGGACATATGGCATAGAGCTGTGGGGCTGTAGTAGTAAATCTAATATTGCTATTATGGAAAGATGTCAATCAAAAATCTTAAGAGCAATTGTTGATGCACCCTGGTACGTAACCAACCAACGAATCTATGAGGATCTCAATATCTCAACGGTGAAAGAAGTATACCAGCAAAAGAAATTACAATACATTCAAAAAGTGAACACACACTCCAACCCATTAATCTCCGCAATACCTCAACATCAAGTTATCCGAAGACTAAAGCGACGTTGGCCAACAGACCAGTAACATGGACCCGTGATTCTCTCACTGGAGGGGACCACATCACGCCAGAACCAAGGGACAGGACTTAAACTCATCACATTAACTTATAGAATATATTGTTTTATTCTGATTGTTAATTTATTAGTTATAATAAAAAAAAAAAAAAAAAATTAATTAACAGGGTGATTTGTGTAATTGACCATTTATTTCATTTTACTGTAGTGTTTATACGGCTCATTTGATTTTTTTAATTTTTGCATGACACAGTACACTACTATCAAGCATTCGACTGGTATTAGCTAAACTAAAAAATTCCAGGACTGGCTTTGGAAAAATTAATTTAGGGATTCGTATTAAATATTACACCCTGTATATATATTTTTTTAAATGCAATAAGTGATTTTCAAACTACACAAATAGCCAATGAAAACGACATATGCGACAATGTTGTCGCACTTTTATTAAATTTTTAGTGAACGATCAAATCTTACCAAAAATAGAACAACCATAATGAAGTATCAAATTATAAGGTAATTAATTTAAACAAATGTTATAAATTTCAAACATTTTAATTGAAATGATAAACTGAGTCACTGCACAACAAAAAACAGTAACTACTAACAATAACGAAGAACAATTAAAAAAAAACTAAAAATATGTACATAGTTATGATAAACCCATAAATTAGAATTGGAAAAGATACAATAATGGTAACAAAATAAAAATAATTCAAAATATATTTTCGAAATAGAACCCTGCAGCCTGTACACATTTTTGTTGCCGAATTGTTAATTGACGTATTGAATTACGGATACTCTGGGAATCGTTTCTAATAGTATTACAACAATGTATAATTCTATCAATTAATTGTTGTCGGTTATTAATATTCACTACGTAAACTAGTTGCTTCAATCGTCCCCAAATATGGTAATCAACGGGATTGAAATCAGGGGATCTTGAAGGCCACGAAATAGGACCTGCACGTCCTATTCACCTGTTGCCATAAACATTATTGAGATGTTGTCTCACTGTCAGTAAAAAGTGTGGGGGTGCCCCATCATGCTGAAAATACATCCCTCGGATAGCAACGTTCGCGTTGGCAAGCAAATTCGGCAAAATATTTTGTAGAAAGTTCAAATAGACCTGCCCTGTTAAAGGACCATCAAAAAAGTGAGGACCTACCAATTGGTTATTTATGACACCAATCCACACGTTAACCGAAAACCTTAACTGAGAACGACGTTCTCGAATAGCATGGGGATTTTCTTCTGCCCACACATGTGAATTTCGTGAATTATTTATCCCGTCTCTGGTAAATTGGGCTTCATCTGTAAATAGTGTCCTGTATAGCGTTGGTCGATTATTGTTAATCCATCTACAAAATTCCAACCTATCGATCTCATCTCCAGCATGTAGTCGCTGAACCATTTGAATGTGATATGGGTATAGATTATTTTTTTATAAGACTCTACATACTTTTGATTGAGTAACATTGAGTTCTCGACTTACTTGTCTAGTGCTTATTGTAGGGTTCATAGTAACGGCGTCCATAATGTCATCTTCCTGCGCTTCATCTACATGTCGCTCTGTTGTTCCACTAGGAAAAGTGCTATTTTCTCGCAAATAATTAAAAACTGACCCAAATGTTGGATGACTGGGAGTTCGACGATTAGGAAATCTCATGCGATATTCTCTACTAGCAGCCCTACCATTCCCATTACAGAATCCATAAACAAATATTATGTCTGCATATTCTGTGGTCGAAAACTGATGTGGCATTTTGAACGAAAGTAACAAAAGCTCTACCAAAACTAACACAATGTACTTAACGTAGATATGACAGAAGAAATATGTATTCTTGTACACATAAATAATAATTGATAATGACAATAATGACAATGGGTATAAAATATCAAGAAACGTCAAACGGTCAACGCCAACCTTCATTTTAAACTTTTAGATTTATTTTTATTTAGTACAGTTGATGCAATGTATTATTATTTGACATAAACTTTTAATCATTTACAATCAACAAAAACTAACACATACAAGAGGTTTGACTTTTTAATCAATTTAATTTATTATTTATCGAAAATAATGCCCAAATACGATCTATGAGTAAAAATTTAAAATTGAAAAACAATTGATTCTATCGTAGAGATAATACAAAGTGACAGTAAAAATGTTAATTTTCTACGTATTAGATTATGTTGTAGGAACTCATTTTAATTAAAATGTTTGAAATTTATAACATTTGTTTAAATTAATACCTTATAATTTGATACTTCATTATGGTTGTTCTATTTTTGGTAAGATTTGATCGTTCACTAAAAATTTAATAAAAGTGCGACAACTTTGTCGCATATGTCGTTTTCATTGGCTATTTATTTAGTTTGAAAATCACTTATTGCATTTAAAAAAATATATATGCAGGGTGTAATATTTATTACGAATCCCTAAATTAATTTTTCCAAAGCCAGTCCTGGAACTTTTTAGTTTAGCTAATACACAAATGGTCAATTACACAAATCACCCTGTTAATTAATAAAGAAGAGGAGTTGACATTTTTTAGTGGCCACATGATATGCTCCCTGAGGGACTCTACATATGGTAGAAGTATGTAAAGTTCCTCATTACTCACCCTGTATATCAAAACATTAACTTTAGATATTTTGACGATAAATTGCATCAAAATAGCATGAACAATAGAACACGTTCTAATTTTTCGTCTATAGTAAAAGCCACAGTCTGCACAGGGTTGTCAGATATGTACTCGTATGAGAGAATGACAAAAAAAATTATTGATGAGCAGAATCAGACTGGAAACCTAGGTTGATCTAAAGATCCTAGAACAGAAGACTGGCAATTGGACATTTTGTTGCCTATCCTAAGGAAGATCTTTCTTCCGGGCACGTAGGGGTTGGGCCTATTACCTATAATACATATATTAAGGAGGAGTCATTGAGGGACCATCCTCTCATAGCAACCAGCATGTATATCAAGAAGCAAAATCAACAGAAACAGCACTGGACGGGGTAGTTCAGAAAATAACTGAGAGATTGCGTTAATCGCCTTTCTATATATAGAAGGCGCTTTTAATAATGCATTAACGAACTAAAAACGAAAGTGTTGGCGAATAATTACAGTCTCCACAGGCCATTTGTGTCCCCTTTGTTTCACTCAATTAGGCATATACCCCTTATTTATCCACCATGTCCACCATATTCACCTTCTGTTTAGCAGAATCTGCTACTACTTGAGAATACTTTCAGGCTCTATGAAAGGACAAACAACTAAACCACAAAGATGTTTAATCGATATTTTTTGTTGTTGCACCTTTAATATCATATTGTGGAGCTTTTCCGCTCTGTACATCAATTAATCTATTTAGATCTGTAATTTTTAACATTCTTTAAACTTATAGGTTGTTCCACATGGTAGTGTAGCATCGGATAGCTTTGAGTGTTTCTAAAATAGGAACATCAACACTGATAAATGACGGAAATGCCATTGACGCAGCAATAGCCACTGCATTTTGTTTGTCCGTCACTACTCCTCATCTTACTGGTTTGGACGCGTAAGTATAAGCTGATATTTAAAACCACCTCGCCCTCAAAAATTGTTGAAATACTTTACCCCCCGTGTATTTAGATTATTTGGCTAGCCATGTGAAGGTTTTTGTAATTTAGAAGGTTTCAAACCAGAGAAATTATTTTAATAGTAATCTTAAAAGATAATTACCGGAACAGAGTATTTAGGGATGAATTATCGTCTTCGTAAGTTTTAGATAATCCAGATAAATTATCCATATTGTGCATTAAACGTTTAGAAGTAATCATGTTGTAAAATGATAGAAAATGGGTAATTCAATCCTGAATCTTAGCTTATCTCGTAAAAACAAGTACGAATATGCATTAGTTTTAGTCAGTAGGGCTCATTTTGGGAATTTTAGAAATCGTTTCAAAACATTTCATATTTAGATCTCCAAATCGATGTTTTGTTTTCTACATTGATGATTCACGATAAATGTAATAGTTTTCACGGAAATATTCATTTGGTTGGGGCCTAACTTAAAATTTTAGTAATGTCTGTTTGTATTTTCTTTTAGCGAAGGTCAGATACTGATTTACAATCACAGAAAGAAAAATCCGCCGGTAGTAATAAATTTCTCGCATAAATTGCTTCAATCCAATGAGCTGCCAACGAGTGTTTTGGGCTTAGCTTATGTACATAGAAAATTTGGAAAGCTGCCGTGGAAAAACCTGGTACTTCCTGCAGCCCACTTAGCCAGGTAATATTTTAATTCAATACAAATAAAAAAAATCACGGCTCAAGAGCTATAGATGATTTAATAGATCGTAGATAAACTGGTAGTGACAAATACGATGCCGATGTGAAAAGTTCTGAAAATATAAATAGAGAAATGAATTTTTTATTAAAAACAAATTTTCCAATTGATCCAATGTATTTTAAATGACAGCATTGTGACAGCATTATATTATAGTTTATTTTTATGAACGAGAGAGTAATTAGCATAATTTTAACTGGTACTTCCGACCACTCCATGGGCGTGCTCAAGATTAATTGAAAAATTACTTTGAATAATTGTAAAAAATAAATGAATTATTTCAGTGTTATAAAGTGTTATGTGTATGTAAACAAAAGTGACCTCTTTTATCACACACTATATTAGAACTGACTGGCCTACATTAAAAAGGGTTTTAAAAAATTCACATTTTTTTTTAATTTTAAAAATTACAAAAGAGAAAAAGAGTTTTTAAAACTGTCTAAGGTATGTTAAATAGATGAATAAAAATATTAATATAAAACTTACAGCTACTTGTTACAAATCTAAATCAGATTCAGAAGATGAACTTTCAGAACCAAGATTTATAATAACTGGCTCGATCATTTTATCAGTAATATTGTCCAGCTTCCCCATTTTTTCCTCTTCTTTAATAGTGTGATTTACTGCCTTTCCCAGTTTTCAGGTTTTACATTATTTAAGGCCTCCAAAAACAACTGTTTAACATCATGAATTTTAAAAGTGGTATTTTTTCTTGAAACTTCACTCTTTATCTGTGCCCATACCAGTTCAATCGGGTTTAATTCACAATGATATGGTGTAATTCACAATTTCATCAATTTCGTATTTTTTAAATTTTTCTTTATGAAGGGCACACAACGAATAAAGTTCCTTTCTTATAGATCCGGGATGATCAGGCCCGACCAGAGGGGGGGGCAGGGGGGCAAAATACCCGGGGCCCAAAGGGGGCCCGGGCCCGGCCGTCGTGTCGTTAGCAAATTTAAAAAATTCCTTTTATTAAAATATTTTACAACAGATTGAATTTGCTTGCGGTTTTAATTATTAAATTATTATAATGAATATTATGCATTTGGAAAAGGCAATATGCAAGAAATTATTTCTTCGTATAAGTTACAATTAATAAAAATATATCGGGAATACATTGCGCGTGGAGCCCCTGATCGGAAGCTTGCTCTATCGGCCACTGCCACACGATTCGCAGGCGCGACGTCTGTTTTGTTTACGAGTTTACGTCCTGACTCTCTAAAGGCCCGTTTTCACGCTACGTCTTATTGTACGTTTTGTGGGTCATAATAAAACGTACGACAAAACGTACGTTTTGTCCAGTGTATACACACTACGTGTTTGGATTTCATTTCGATTCGACAAGACGTACGTTTTGCTGTTTACACGCCACGTTTTATTGTATAGGATTTGTCCTATCCAACAAAACGTACAATAAGACGTAGCGTGAAAACGGGCCTTAACATTCCCATTATACCCCCTTCGTCACAGGTTTCAATTGCAATTTTCGGCAGTTCGAGTTTAAATAGGACGTTTGAACACAGCTTTGGTGTTATTCTGTTGTTTACTTTCGGTTTTAGTAGCTGTTATGTGATTATTTAAAAAGATTCTGAAGATTATATGTGATTATATTGAGAATAACAAAATAAGGTAAGTTTTCACAACTAAAACTTTAAAACTATATGTAGTTATAATGGGCCTCCTAGTTCTAATCTTGTATTCTGGCAGAGATTATTCGTGAATTTCGCGAAGTGCTTTATTATCTGCCTAACATGTCTGTTATTTTATTTTATGTTCTCTCCAATGATTAAATGCTATAACATAAGTAAGATTATGTAATGAATTTATTTAATTACAAATATATATTAAGCATACTGTCCTGGATATGATATAGCTTCAATAGAAACTGTTGGCGAAAGACAGTTTTTAGGTGCAAATGGTCTTGTTTTTTTGTAATTAAATTAATTCTAGATGTGGTTTGGATGAATTTTTTTTCTGTGGAAAAGGACAAATATAGGGCCTTTCTAACCTCTATCCTCTAACGGTTTTTTTTAATCAATTAGCTTACATAGGTTTTCATTTTTTTTTTTAGAATTTAAAATGGAATACCGACACAAATCTGGGGCCGTAAAGAGGAAAGAAAAACATGAAAGAGAGGAGAAGGCAAAGAAAGGCCAACAGAAGCTGTCTGTTTTCTTAACACAGCCGAAAAATGTGTCAAATGAAGAGAAAGAAACTAACATTGAAAATGAGCCCTTAATCCTCCCGGGCACTTCAAATTCACAAACACCCTCCAACAGCTCAAATGTTGGTCGTGAGCTATCCTCACTTAGTAGTGATGAATTTTTAACTCCATTACACTTAGAAGAACGTGACGAACAGGATGAGGCAGTGTCAGCGTCTACGAACATTTTGAGCCAACCAGAAGTTTTTGATGTAGGCAATTTGAGTTTGTTACAACTTAGTACTAAACAAGTTGAAGTTGCTGTCACAAAGGGGCCACAAGCTCATCCCAACACGTTTCCTGCAGACTCAACGAGACGGCAATTTCCTTTATCTCTGCTTAAATTTAAACTACCCAATAATGAAGTTGTTCCAAGGGATTGGCTTGTTTGGAGCGAAGTGAAACAGGCTTTGTTTTGCTTTCCTTGTCGGTTGTTTTGTACTCAGACAGAGGTGGTGCGATCCAAATTCGCCTCAGTTAGTGGGTTTCCAAAAGAACATAAATGGAAAAAGTTGTACGAAAAGATTCCTGAGCACCAAAACAGCCTTAGCCATAAAGGATGTTACTTAAAATGGAAAGATCTGGAATTAAATCTTAACAAAGGAGGTACTATATTTGGTAGCATTGAAAAACAATTGCAGAATGAAATCACTACCTGGAAACAGATCTTACACAGACTCCTTCACGTAACTTTATTTTTAAGTGAGCGAGGTCTCTCTTTTAGAGGAGAAACTCAAAAGGTGGGTCATCCAAACAACGGCAATTTTTTGGGCGTGCTAGAACTTTTAGGTCATTATGACCCTATTTTATCGAAGCATCTAGATCAGGTTAAGCAATCTCAAGAATCGAATAAGAGAATGCAAGTGCATTATTTGTCTTGGAGAACTCAAAACGAGTTCATAGCAAGTTGTGCTGATTATGTAAGGAAAGTTATTGTGGACGAACTCAAGCGATCTAAATACTATTCTATTATGGTTGACGCTACACCAGACTCAAGCCATGTAGAACAGACCTCTTTTGTATTTAGATACATTATTTTCAAAGAAGACGTAAAAGAATATGAAATCCATGAACGATTTTTGGAGTTTTCCGACTGCAATGAAAAAACTGGAGAAGACATCGCAAATCTAATCAAAGAAGTTCTTAAAAAATATGACATATCCTTAGATAACTGTAGAGGACAGGGATTCGATAACGGCAGTAATATGAGTGGCAAGTATAAGGGTGTTCAGGCTCATATTTTAAAATCAAACCCTCTGGCTGTGTACTCACCATGTGGATGCCACAGTTTGAACTTATGTGGAGTATGCGCTGCTGAGAGTTGTACTGAAGCACAGACTTTCTTTGGTGTTGTTCAGAATCTGTACAATTTATTCAGTTGCAGCCCAAAAAGATGGGAGCTTCTGAAAGAGATAGTAGGATCTTCACTGCACTCATTGTCTGATACGAGGTGGAGTGCTAGAGTAGAATGTGTGAAACCAATAGCGGCACACATAGGCAAAATCATTGAGGCAGTTTCATCATTGTTGAATCTTAACGTAACTGTTGAAACGAGAGCCACAATCAATGGGGTTTTAGAATATCTTAACACCTTCAAGTGCATCCTTATGGCGTCAATTTGGGTGAAAGTGTTGGTACCCATCAACTACAGAAGTCAACTACTTCAAACTATGGACGCTACTTTGGATGTTGAGAGTAGTAATATAGAGAGCCTAATTGATGATTTAAGTGCCATAAGAAATAACTGGGACAAGATATTGTCTGAATGCAAACATGTTGCAAATGCTTATGGTATCGAACCGGAACTCTCCACTTCCCGTGCGAGAAAGAGGAAGACTCTTCACGATGAAACAGCTACAGAAGATGTAATGTTTAATTTATCCCCGGAAGAACGCTTCAAAATAGAAGTTTTTTACACAATAATTGATGTTTTGGTGGCCAACCTGAAAACGAGGTTCACAGCACTGAGAGAAATCGAAATGAAATTTTCATTTTTATGGAAGTATAACGAAATGGACGAGAATACGATCTCAGAAAGTTGTGTAAGATTCGCCGAAGAGTACCATTCAGATGTAAGCAGGGATCTAGTTGATGAAATGATTTACTTGAAAACTGTTAGTAAATCAAACATCTCAGATACGTCGCTGAAACCAGCCAAACTTTTGAACAAGCTCGTATCCCTTAATGTGACAAATCTTTTCCCCAATGTGTGCATTGCTCTTCGCATATTCTGTTGCCTACCAGTATCCGTTGCTCAGGCCGAGAGATCATTTAGTGTTTTGAGCCGAATTAAGAATTGTTTAAGATCTACTATGGGTCAACAACGATTATCTGATTTGGGACTGTTAAGCATAGAGTCGAAACTTGCAAAAACTCTTGATTTCGAGCACGTGATCCAAAACTTTGCAGATATGAAAGCAAGAAAAGTTATGTTGTAACTAACAGTTCTATTGTAGATAATTAAAAACAAAGTTTAATTGTTGAAACTGTTTTAATTTTCTTCCTTCTTGTGTCAGTAGCATGAATGTTCACTATTATATATCCCAGTTTATGAGTTATTAGATTTTTGGTAATTTTCGTCCAACTGGGTTTGGAGGGGGGCCCGGCCGGGTCTCATCCCCGGGGCCCGGCCTGGCTCTGGGCGGCCCTGGGGATGATACGTAATATTTTTTGAACCCAGCCAATTCTGCAAGTCTTTTTTTAACCACTTGGTTGTGGGCAGTGTTTCTATAAGTCTGGAGTGATAACTTGCATTATCCATTACTATTACACAGTTCTTAGGAAGAAGATCTATCATTTGTTCGAACCATTCTTGAAAGACATCAGCGTTCATGTCTTCATGGTAGTCACCGATACGAGTTGATTCAAAAGTTAATAAACCACCTTCAATAAAACCGTCTGAACTGCCAATGTGTACTATTATCAGCCTGCGTCCCTTTCCTGATGGTGGGTTTAAACCAGTAGATAAGTTATTTACAAAAGCGTGCCTTTGACTTGTAACAGTTTCATCCTGCCAAAATTTATTTGGTGTACGACCCTCGTTGATCCATGTTTCATCAAGATAAAATATTTTTCTTCTTTGGTTTCTCATTTCCTTTATGGTTCTTAGAAAATGTCTTCTACATATGACAATATCGCTTCTTTCTAATAAAATAGACTTTCTGGGATTCTTTTTCCAGCGGAAGCCTATTTCTTTTAAAAGTTTCCATAACGTACTTCGACTCATTTCTGGCTAATCCTTATCATCTCGAACTGAGACAATAACTTTATCCAATGTTGAAATTCTTGTCTAAAGAAGAATTCATGCACTTTCCGTCGAAGTCCTTCTTTAAAATGATATTCTATTTGAAATTTTGGTTTCCCTGAAGCATTACGTGGCATTTGAAAACTACCAGCTTTCTCTTCTTTAATAACTCTGTAAATCGTAGATTTCCCAACACCAAGTGTACTGCTAACTAACTCAACGATCTCATCAACACTTTCATATAAACGTTTGTCTGTAAATGATTTAAAACAATTAAATATTAATGTTTTTTCATTAACTGTTAAAGGACCAATTTTTCGGCGTTTACAAGGCACTTCCAAATTTTCCATAACACTAGTATACACAATAAACTTCACCTTGCAACTGAAGTACCTACTTTTAGTGAACTGTTAAGAATTTTGAATACGCCACTTGGACCTTCCTACAAAATGGAAAAACCCACTATCACATTTTCTGTGGAATAAGTTTAGAAGGTAATTATCTAGTCAATTACTGTCGTAGATTCCTGGAATTAAAGAATTAAATGTTTGATTGTTGAAACGCTTACTTCGTGGAATGCACTCATTTCAGATAAAATAAAACTTTTTATTTTATCTAAAGAATTAAACTTTATTTGGTTTATATATAACCAATAAAATAAACATCTTACATTTCTTGCAAATTCATTAGTACCTGTTAACCTCCATCACTCCGACACTGGCAACCTTATTTAGGGATTAGTAACCCTCACAACTATTGTATTCTATTCTGCTCCAACCTTTATACCTGGTGGTCATACTCAATTTAAAATTGTTTTCCTATATACTTCTGTAAACTTGTTGACAAATATCTGTTTTTCATTAAGTCACCCGTATCAACAGTTTAGGGATTTGCATACATAATTTATTGTTTTATTACTCTCTCATACATAAAAATACACTATAAACACAAAATATCAATGACGTTACAGCTTAATATTTATAAAAGCACAGGAATGAGCATTCGCTTTACAGTTTTGACTCCAATGGACACATCTACAAATTTCCGGTTTCCAGTGGCGTACTATTTTTACAGGAATATGTACAAAATGCAAAAAGTCAAAATTTTGTTGTTTTTTAACGAGAAAGTTTATGAAATTTTTGATAAAACAACTAAATAACCAGTCCGACGAAACATATGCAGTTTTTTTTTGTGTGTTTTGGCTTGGACAATTGTCATTCAGCCAGTCTCAATCAAGATAAGTTTATTAATGTAGTGTGTGTGTGTTTGTGTGTGTAGAGTAATTGTCTTGATACTTAGCAAAGTCGACGTCATTGTCCTTGCTAAGAGACGCTAATTGTATCCGAACGTCTGCGGTCTCTCCGGCGAGTACCGATCACACAAAGATAGAAATTATTTTTATTTATTAATTTTTTTTTTAATAAACGAAAATTTCCACCCAGGTGAGATTCGAACTCACGACCTTTAGGTTTAAAGGCAGGCGCTCTTACCACTGAGCCACAGAGGGGGTTATATGCAGTTTTAATACTACAGTGGCCTAAATGAATTGACAAAGTAATTTTTACAAAAAAAAATGAGTAGGTTTCAAATCGTGTCCATAAAAAATAATAAAAATATGTAATGATTAGATTCAATCAACAAAACAATAATTTGTTAGCAACCTTTGGGAATACATGTCTAACCAATAACAAACGTTTCCGTTAATTCCTTCTTCTTCTTGTAGTGCCTATCCGTTTCGGATGTTGGCGACCATCATGGCAATCTGCACTTTGCACACTGCTGCTCTAAAAAGATTTGTGGTTGTTGTGTTGAACCACGTTCGTAGATTTTTCAGCCAGGAAATCCTTCGCCTTCCTGGTCCCCGTTTCCCTTCTACTTTTCCCTGCAAGATTAGTTACAGCAGTCCATATCTTTCGCTGTTCCTCATGATGTGACCGAGGTATTCGATTTTGGCTGTTTTTATTGTGGTTAATAGCTCTTTTTCTTTTTTCATTCTCAACAGAACACCCTCATTAGTAACGTGGTCGGTATACGATATCTTCAGGAAGCCACATTTCAAAAGCCTCAATTTTCTTGCAGGTGGCGTCTGTGAGAGTCCATGACTCAACTTCGTACAACAGTATAGGAAAGATGTAACATCGTAGTAACCTGATTATTATGTGCATTGATAAATCATGACATTTGAATAATTTAGCCATTTTTTGAAATGCAGATCTTGCTTTCTCTATTCTACATTTGATTTCTATGGAATGGTCGCAATTTTCATTGACGTTCGTACCAAGGTAGGTGTATGTTTTTACTCTTTCTATTTGTTGACCGTTTACACTGATTTGTCCAAATTACTGTTCCTTCTTAGAGATCATCATGCATTTTGTTTTCTTAGTGTTTAGTGTAAATCCGTATCTCTGACTGACCTCTGTGATTCTGTTCATTAACTCCTGGAGGGTTTCAGAACTGTCAGCGAATACTACCGTGTCGTCCGCGTATCTAATGTTATTGATAGATTCTCCGTTGATTCGAATTCCGGCTTCAACATCACCCACTGCTTCTTGAAAGATTTCCTCAGAGTATATGTTAAACAGCAGTGGTGATAGTATACATCCCTGACGGACGCCACGTTTGATTTTGATATCGTCGGATTCTCCTGCCTCTGTCCGGATAGATGATGTTTGATTCCAGTGCAGATTGCTAACAATTCTTAAATCACAGGTGTTTATTCCAATATTGGTTAATATCTCCATCAGCTTGTCATGCTTTACTGTATCGAACGCTTTATGGTAGTCAATGAAGCACGCATAAATGTCGCAGTTCACGTCTCTACATCGTTGAAATAGCAAACCAACCAAAACCGTTAATTCCAACCAAAAAGAAATATATATGACTTTAAATGTACAGTAATAAATTGAAAGAAAAACTTAAAAACGTAGAAAATAGTATATTAAAGAAAATACAAGAGATATTTAACCACCCTCAGGTTGGTAGTAGCTAATTGATAACAAATTTCTTCTTCTGTTGTCAACAGGGGTATTAAAATTATCAGTGACTACTATTGAAAATGTTTCTACAGGTAATACATGACAGTTTCGTTTCCGTAACGGGATTTGGAACGAGAGCGTCATTGTTTGGGATGAACGTACTTACTCAAAGATGTTGGAATAGTTCTGTAGACATCTACTGTTGTTTTATTGACTTACGAAAGGCATTTGATCGTGTTAAGCACTCTATATTGATCGAGACATTGGCTTGGATGGTAGAGACGTTCACACACATCAGTTTTAGTAGACGATTTGGAATCACAAAGTCTTAATATTAAAAGAGGAGTATGGTAGGATGCTTCTTGTCGCCCCTGCTTTTCAATGCGTTTTTTTGAAAATCAAGAAGGAATAAATATTTTGAAGGGTGAAGATATGCAAATATTAAATAGTACCAAACTTGAGCAGGTTGATCAAATGATCGAATCTGGCGAATTCTTTGTAGTTCAAAGGCGTAAATGTTTCTATTGACAAATATTTTTATACCGAAGTTTTCGTGAAAAAGTGCCCACGTTCTATCTTCAGAAATGTCTACATTCTTGGCTAAACCGTATATTACCATTTAAGAAAAATTTTTTGGTTAATAAAAACTTGAAGATTCGGTATTTATTTTTACAAAAAAAGCTGTCAACGCGAACAAAATAATATTTTGTAGTAGCATCATCTATGGATGGACCTAGAACTTTTCACACTGGCCTTATATTGTTCATTAACTATCCATGATACTAAATAAGTTTGCCTTCACCTACACTTTAAATACATTATCAAATATGTACTCACTTCCATTTCCTTTTAGGCAAGGCATCAAAGTATCTATACAGTTGGCTCAAGCAGTGGCTAATTTTAAAAAGGAAAAAATCTTTGGTCCTCTAGAAACCGGTCAATATCTGCTACAGAATACACTAGCGACTACTCTTGAACGTATAGCAAACATATCAGAAGCAGGTAAATAAATACTGTAAAATGGGGTGAATAGAAACAATTTTCAACTTTAAACATAAATATCGTAAAGTATTATGAGATGTAAGGAATTAAAAGCTATTTTGGTTTATAGGCCGCGCAGTTCTCTATAAATCTACAACAAGGGAAACAATTTAAAAAATTAAAACTTGCTGTTTCTGTTCACCCCATTGAGTAGAAATTGTTCATTAAATAGAAACATATACTGTTTTCCAAGTATATTTCGACTGTAGAAACTGTGGGGCTTATAGAAACAGTCAGCACTGTCATGGAGTGGAAAGAAACAACACACATACAATTACATTATAATGTAAATATGAAATTATAAATGACCAAATATCAAATTACAAATGACAAAATGAATCATTGCTAGTCAAGTTAATTTGATTAATAGATGGTAAAGTTACTGAGATCATCAAAGAAACTAATGCTTGTTTTCATACGAGAAGAGGAAGACTTAGATGCTTCAACTGGTGGCATGAGTTTCTTCATAACATCATCTTTCAGGAAAAAGCACTCTTCTTCAGTTGGTAAAAATGTGTTTCGTTCCTTAAAAGTGTCGTCAAGAGATGTGACAGAAATTGTGGCTCCTGAGTCATCTAAAGATGGTAATATCTTTAGTATTTACTTGATTGCGACAAAGAAGCACAATACCACATTTTCTAAAACCAGCAATAATGTTATTTGATTTACACTCTTCACATAGTTTTTTTAGTAAACTAGGAAACTTACTCTTTTGTATAGTAGCTTCATATCTACCAGATCCTTTTTTCCAATCAGCAACAATTACCCGCCATGTTAGATGCGTCAAGTTTGCTGGTAGAAATATGAAATGAATATTGTTCTCTGAACACATTCGTATGATATCAAGTGGCAGGTGACTAGCTAAGTTGTCGCCGATCAAGTATTTTTTACCGTCAAATCGTCTAAAAAATGGAAGTATGATGGTTTCTATGTAATCTGAAAAAAGGAAGTTGTCAAACCAATCTTTTGGCCCTATTAGGTCTATACCTAGACCCCTCAGGACCGCCCTCTCTCCAACTTTCGTACAAGTTTAAGGTTTTGTACACTACATAAGGGGACAAAATTTGGCCATCAGCAATAGCAGAAAACATCACTGAGATGTAGCTTTTAGTAGAATTTATCACCCTTTCAGGATATTTACATCCTCGTCTAGCTATTATTTGACTTCTGTCCATCAGATATCATCATCAGATAAGTTGATCTTAGGATGTGTTTTACAACTCAGCTGCACATGTGCCATACCTGGCTGCAATCATCAAAGGATACCGACAAATGATCAAAGGATGCCGCTTTCCCCACAATCGGCAAAAAACCCGGCTATGCTAAATTTTTTTAAAATCCACTAACAAATTCTGTATCTGAGACCATTAGATCAACTTTGGTTCACATACAAAGAGATTTAAGTTAATTACATACTCTATATGAACTTTTTTAAACAACAACGTCAATTTTACCAGATAACTCTAATAATTGTATCGTTCACTGTATAATAAATAACATTTTTAACATGCAAACATATTTTTTCCAGAACTGCATTCACATTTGAGCAAATTTAACGAAACTGCACTCACGGAGACAGTAAAAGTAACAAAATTTAAGAACTTCGAAATATACGTCCCACAGAATGACGAATCGGTCGGCCAATTTCTTGTGGACGCTCTTAACGAATTGGAGAAGATGAATTTAAACGATGCTGTCTTTGCGGATCCCAGTTACGCCCACGAGCTGGTCGACGTTGTTCAGTACTACCAAAACGAAAATACCACGTACAACTTATTTCACGAAGGAACTATTTCGGACGTTGCTGTTATGGATACAGAAGATTATTATGTCTCATTAGTAACGTAAGTAAATATTAATTTTAAGTTTACAAAAACGTATAAAGTGCGCATATAAACCACCTCATCACCAACTATTTTCTGAATCATAAAACCACAGAATAGGAAAAAATCAGATGATCTCTCATAGAGTTTATAAGTAGGGCAGAGAATTTGCTACATATTCTGTACCAGTCCGCATCCTAATACTGGTTATTATATTTTAAGCATTTAGTTTACCATGTACTGTCGACCTGAAGATGCATAGCAAATTATAGTATGCAAATAAAAACATTACTGAATTACTGTTTTCACTACCAAAAGAATATATTATAAGTTTTATTTTCTATTTTTTAAAATAAATCATCAAAATACATACCTGTTTCACAGTTTCAAAATTTATCATAATACAACTCTACTTATCTGCCCATCAACAGCATGGCCGATGACCAAGTGATCTTGTGTTAAAAAGATCAAAGGCGGGATTTGTGGATTTGCCTTCTGATTGTTCTTATACTGTGACAAAAAGTCATACATTTGGATAACTGAACTAAGCCACTTGTACATTGTTATGTGATGTTTTAGTGACGTAATGATTTAAAATAGTGAACGGTTACAATTTTTAAAATTATTTCAAATTGGATCATGTGTCAAGTAATACAGAATTGTGTGATTCTATCGCATTGTTTTAAAATAGTGACCGTTTAATATTCAATGTAAAAACTATAGGCTTACATGTAATAATTTGACAGTCTTCATTTTTTTTGTTTTTGGAAAACGCTCAAACAAGTCAATTTACTGTTCCAGTTTTTTTCATTCTGGTAGAATTAATTTGATTTTGTTACTGGCTTCATCACATACTTTACTTAAAGAGTGTGATCTTAAGTAACAATACTATGTGGCATGTAACATATCGTTTCAAAGCTCATGTATCACTCAGTGTACTATTAAAACCGAAAAAATTAGTTTTCCAAGAGTCAGTTGTCTTAAGTGTCTTAATTTATTGGTCGCCATTTTAAGAAAAGTGTAAATATCATCATAATTTTGGCAGATGTCAACAAACAATCAAGTACATTCTATTAGTGTATAGGAAACTGAAAAAATAAACGGATATGTTTAAGAATATTCCAGAAAATTGGTGAATACTACCAATTTATTACATATTAGAAGTAGTTAATACTTTTTTGCGCTGTTGCTATTGAACGGTCCCTATTTTGCAACTTTGTGGCAGAAACATACAAAAATACTAAGTGATACAAAAGTTTTCATTTAAGGTATTATTTGCCATATGATCGTCTATTTAAAATAATTTTACAAAATGGTGCCTGTTAGCCCTTTTTAATGATTATGTCGCTAAGATATCATAAAAACAATGTACAGCTACACGAAAATTGATCAAATAAAGTTTTATGATTTAAAAAATATCTGTGGGGCGCATTTTAAACGCTTGCTATAATCTTAATATACTGATTTTAGGGGTATGTACCAATTTTTCGGTTCAGGCGAACGATCCCCGGATGGCTATCTGCGAGACAAAAAAGGCCAAGGAACTATGAACAGCAATATGCCGGTTTTAATTTTAGACGGTTGGTATATTTGCGGAAGAAGGTACGTTTTTTCAGCGAACAATTTAGGAAGCGCCCTGCAGATAATCAGCAATTTATTGTTGCACAAAGAAAATGTTACAGATGCTATTGAGGCTCCACGGCTGTACATTGGAAACTGGACGGTAGGCTTTGAAGGTAACTATTTTGATCTATTATGGTTTTGAAAATATTTTCTTGTGTTTGGAATACCCGGAGTGGATCCATTTCGACATTTTACTACAATTGTAGCGTTTTATATTTAATATAGTTTCTGTTTAAATTTTTGTAGTATGCCCCTGGTTGTTTATACCAAGAGATTCTTAAATGCGTAATAACGCTGGAAATATTTTTTTGTCTCTGTTACATTGTCAGGTTAAAATTAGGGTCGCTAGAATAATCAATAACTACGTATTATTTTTACCCAATTTAAAAGTAAATATACATGAGTCCCCTAATATTCCGGTTGAAAAAAAATTGTTTTGTTCGTTTCGAGTTTGTTAAGAACGAATATCAAGGGGGATATTGTTTGTTTTAAGTTGGTAGGCAAAACAAACTGCAAGACGAGAAAGGGGAAATTATTTGAGGCAGACGAAGGGTCGGAGAAAAGATTTGAAACTAGTTAGACGTTTTTGCGGACTAGGAGTAAAACCAGATCAATCGAAAGATGTAGAATGTTAGAAATATATTAAAAATAACAAGAGCCCAAATAAAAAACACTTACACAGTGGTTTGTACAAACTTAAATGTGGCGACTGCCCAAAAACTTACATCGGTCAAACTGGTAGAAACTTTAACAAACGTATAGAAGAACATAAAAGGGCTTTCAATAATAGAAAAACAGATTCTACATACGCACTTCACCTTCTAGATCACAATCATTCTTTTAATGACGAATTTAAAATTCTTCACATTCAAAATAAAGGCCTTAAGCTATCCTTGTTAGAATCTATGGAAAGCAACAAATTAAAAAACACAGATATAATTCTGAATGTCCAACTTGAGATAAACAGTTCTCCCCTCCTCAACCTATTCCATTAGAGACTAGAAAATGTAAACGCATGCCAAAAATGGATCACTTGAGAAAGGCAATCAGCCGAAACAGCTGTAGTGATAAGTTAAAATAAATTTTGTGGAAGTTTTCAGTGTTTTATTGTTACATAAAATGAATTTCCGTCAAGTTACGGTCGAATCCATCAATTATTTCAAACATTACTTTAGTTTCATACGTAACCAAACCAACAAGTTTGTTGTATTATTATAGGACTTACATAATGAACATGGAATTTCTGGTGAAGGTCAAAAGTTTAAAAAAAAGATTATTTTGGATTATAACAAAACCAAAAGTGGAGTTAATATTTTAGATAAATTGATCCGTAAAAAAGCAACAAGAAGATGGCCCTTACGTATATTTTTTTAACTTTTTGGATATTGCATGCTACAATGCTTTCGTTCTATGGAATATGAAAAATCCGGAATGGAACACCTAAGTAAATATAAAACATCGCAGAAAACTATTTCTGGATGAGATTGAAAAACAATTACCCTCGCCTAGTATAAAACGAAAAGGTGAAGTAATACAAGAAGAACCCACCGGGTACCATAAATCCGTAATCACTGCAATAGAGACCACCGGTGTTAGTGTAAAAAAGCAAATAGAAGTGCCGCATTCTGCAACAAAACGAGGTCGTTGTTATTGTCGTAGGGGTAGTAATAATAAATATTCAAAAAGGTGTGACATGTGTAAAAGGTTTGTTTGTAATACTCATTACTATGGCAAAACTAACAAAAACAATTTGAGACATATGTCATTGTCTAATCGTGTACACTACCCATCGAGCAAAAAGACAAAAGAGGGAATGTAAAGGTAGTGGGGGCAAAAATATTGTTAGACAGGAAGTGCGATCTTTAGAGGCCATTTTAAACAAGGAAAGAGAGTCTCTCTCCTTGTTTGACATCAAATTTAGTTGGGTTATGTTATTGTTTGTCCCCAATGACGTATAATATATAGACTACGCAGTCCCCTATTCTCGCTATAGAATCGAGTGTCCGAAAGATCTCGGCTCAAGGTTGAAGGTATGTTTATCAAAACAGCGGCGTGCTCATTTATATGTTAATGACAATAATTATTTTTTTTATTAAAATTAAATATTTATGATTTCTTTTTGTTCCCGTCTATAAGAGAAATAATTATTTTGATAAAATAGTATGGCATTTTACTAAAATAGTAAGTAAATAACTCTCAACAATTTAAAATAAAATTTGCTTGTCACACAAAATGGAGAAAATGTTTTCATACGTCCATGACGTTTTCAAACACAAGATCAACTTCGTGATGCTTCGTAAGAAATCATGAACTTCGTGCATCTTCGTATCAAAACAATAAACAATAACAAAGGTATTCATGTTTTGGACACTTTTTAAAGCGTTCACCGAGTCTATATATTATATGTCATTGTTTGTCCCAAATGTCACATGAAATCTTATTTATATTGAAGTTTTTTTAACAATTATGTCGCATTTTAGACTATTATCGTTAATAATTAATTAAAACTTTCTCGTCTAAGACACATTCTGAAAAATATTATATAGCTACTGTTAATAAGTGTCGGAAAATTTAAATTTGGCGCATTCGCATTTTCCGGATATGACCGCCATTAGAGGCCACTTTTTTGGTCTCCTTTTCATAAGGATTAGATTCCCTCTTTTGTCTTTTTGCTCGATGACACTACCTAACTAAGAAGACACAATACTGGTAATCAATACTATCTATGACTGTTTAGTCTAGTTACGCTGATTAATACTATATTGTTAGTGAACATGAATAACGTCATGCACAAACTGATGCATCTTTATCTGCTATTAAAATAAATGTTTATTTTTAGTATGTTCTTTTTAAACAATATGGTGCAGTAAAGGGTTAACAAAAATTTGAATAAGGTTGTATAATATATTTTAGCGAGTAGATCATATTTCAATTCTTGTTTTAGCTTCACATCGGCCTTCCTTTCCGAAAGAAATAACTGAGCATTCTCCTTGGAAGTTCAACTTAATACCGGAACCTTACCAAAGCATCAACATTGTTTTTAAAAACAAGGACGAACTGAGTTCTCATTCCGATAGTAGAGGAGGGGGAATAGCGAGCAGATTTTAATAAACATACACAATTTTATGCATTCTTATTAAGTTCTTTGTCTATGTACTTTCTCCTGTAAATCGAGCATTTCAGAATATCTATACAGTGCCAGTAATGCTTATTTTAGAAGAAAAATCAGTAAATAATAGCTTTGAGTACGTAATAGCGATATCATATAACAAACTCTTCCGTCCGCTACTGAAAATAGACTTACTTTATTAATTTAAAACTATGTCCTGATTTTCTTATTGAAATTTTATATTTTATGGCGCTAGTAATTAAAGATTTTTATTATTATAACAAATGTAGATATTGTTAACGGCTGTGACTGACATTTCTATTTTTAATATTTATTAATGTTATTGTATTTTTATATAAATGTTTTTTAAATAAAATATTTGCAATAAATGCTTCTATTGTCTGATTTAAAAAAAAAAGCATGAGAAATAAAACTGATACATAGACCCGATATAATAAGACTCGGAAGACAAGAATACGAGAAGATTTCGTTCTTACACCAAGAGGCAATGTGTTAAGTTTCAAGACTAGGAATTTTTCTTCTGGCCCTAGAGCAGATATAAGTTTTTTTGGCGTGTAATATCTCCTTTTTTCTCGGAGAAAAAAGTTTAAACTACCAAAATAAACATCAACAACCTAAAAGACGACAACTGCCAACAGCAACTAAACGCAGAGATAAATAAATTAACTGAAGGAAGCGTAGAATGGTCAGATATGAAAAAGCCACACTAAAAGCAGGAAAAGAGGTCCTAAGCGAAGAAGAGAAAACCACTAAAAAAGACTGGATGACACCGGAAATAGTTGAGTTAATAACTGAAAAAAGAAATTACAAAAATAAAGATGGAAATAAATATAAAACCATCAAGAATAAAATGAAATATGAAATCAGAAAGGCTAAGGAGGAATGGATGAACAAGGAATGCCAGGAACTGGAAGAACTTAGCAACAAACGTAACACCTCAAACTAACATAAAAAAAAATTCAAGAACTTACAGGCAATACCAACACCAAAACACTCATAACAGGAGATAATAATGGAGGAATACTTACTTAACATAATAAAGGAAGTATGGGAACAATATATAATCCATCTGTTCCATGACGAGAGGGAAAGTGAACAAGATATAGGTGTAGAAGAACACTGCCTACAAATTTTACCCTCAGAAGTAAAGCATGCCCTACGGAATGCAAAACAAGGAAAAGCACCGGGTCCGATCAAATTCCAGTTGAACTGATAAAAGCCTTAGATGACGGTAATATAAAGAGACTCACCCGAATTCTCAACCACATTTTTTACCTCTACCAAAAAACAACAATTCCAAATCATGAAATGGCTATAGATTGATAAGTCTAATGTGCCATCCTTTAAAGATTCTCTTGAAAATTCTTTAAATCCGAATTTATAAGAAATGTGAAGGGCAGATAGATTAAACGCAGTTTGGCTTCAGAGAAGGCACGGGTACAAGAGAGGCTTAATTTGCGTTGATGGTACTCTTGCAGAAATGTCGGGTATATAATAAGACTGCATATGTATGCTTCATAGACTTTGTAACGACTATTTTGCTTACCACAGGGTAAGAATATGGGGGGACAAGATTGGGCAAACAAAATAATCGAAACAAGTGCATACGACACTCAGTTGGTTGTTGGAGAGCTGGGTCGTGGATAAGTTGAAGATATTTGGGGTTGGATTGGGCAACTACACAAAAGGAAATAAAGGGGTACTTATACAAATCTCTTGGGACAAACAGAATGAAAATAAACGGAAACACCTCAAGAAATTTAATATAGGGCGCCACTTGAGGTGCCCAATTATACCTATTACAACCACTAGTTGTAACTAGGGAAATAATTGTATAACATCAAAAATATAGAAAAAAAATATCTTTTTCAAATAAAACTCAAAATAGATCAAAGAAACAAATTAAACATTTATTCTTGTCTCAAACAAAACAGATCAAAAATACATATTATAAAAGAAACATATCATATAACATAATACAAATAACAAAAACTTACATGGTCTTTATTTACTATATTATGGCCAATTAGATTATCAAAAATTAAGGATCCTTGTTAATGAAAACATATAAATTTAACCTTATATATGAAATATCGTTTCTACATAATAATCAAATTAAAATTGTCATAACAAAAAAAACAAATTAAGCTTGCTGTCAGGTATCACATTTAATTTTATTGACAAAGAACAAAAGTATTAACAGCATAACCATACATATTACAATTTTTTATCTGTTATGAAAGCAATTATTACTTTAGCCAAAAAAATATCTGTCTTTACTTTGAAAAATTAATATATTGAATTGTTACCTTAAAATTTACATATTTCGTCACTCAACTTAAAAAAAACTTGTTACATCTCTGACTGGAAGCTACTTGTACAAATCCTCTAACTGGGACATAGGAAACATTTCTATACTCAGGAACGAGGTTGGGGCAAACAGATGACACACGAAGCTGGTGGCACACCCTATGTACTGCTTTAAAATTTTACCATGTTCTGGTATACTGCATAAATCCTTTTAGTGGTTTCTCTATGCTAATCCGTCATGTTTACGGAGAGTCCACTGTTTACAGGTCTGATTAATTAACCCATTACACAAAATTACCGGCTGTTTATGAAAAATGCCCAAGTCCTTTCAACTCGAGCTGGCTTACATCACCTGCCTACCTCGTTGCTCTTTTCAATCTCGTCGACTCTATTGTCACATGTCTGCCCTGTTTAAAATCTCTAAGTCGACTCTTCCCTTCGAGCAAATATTCATCACTTCCTCTCAAAACTTTTTACCCATTCTCACATGTCTGCCCTGTTTGAAATCTCTAAGTCGACTCCCTTGCTTCGTTACATTTTACCAGAATCAGCCAAAAATTCCCCTTCCGTCTTGCAGCCTGTCGCCGACCCACTTAAAACCAAAACAAATATTCCCTCCTCTTATCGACAAAAAAAAACAAATTTTAAATGTTCCTTTATTGCCTAAACAAACAAATATTCTTTTTTTGACCCTCGTCTAATAACGAAAAACAACTTTAATATTAGGGGAATTCATGTTTATTGCGTTTTTAACGAAGAAAACAAATAAAACCTCTTTTTTATACTAGAGGGGCATCATGTAACATGATACCTCCTTAGCGACAAAAACTTGTCGAAATAGATATAACGTACCACAGAATCTTTTCTATACACTTTAAATAAAAAACGCTACAACTTTAGGAAGGCCTTTGACAGAGTGCAGCATTTTAAGTTAATAAATGAATTAAAAAAGATCAATTTAGACAAAAAAGACATTGAGTTTATTAAGTTAATTACTATTTAACTGGGAATAAGCCACAATTAAAGATAAAAATACGTTTATTGGCGTTTCAATTTCCACTTCGGAAATCGTTCTCAAAATACAAACAGTAAATTAATAACTATTAATTAATTTACTGTTTGTATTTTGAGAACGATTTCCGAAGTGGAAATTGAAACGTATTTTAACACGTTGCTTTGAAAATAAAAGAAAATGCTTGTATATACATGTGCATATTTCCTTACTTTTGTTGTGCATACCTATTGTTCATATTTAGTTATCAGAAACATATCTAAAAAATGATATAAAACAAGCGACAAATTTAACAGTTTATTTGTTACTGTAAATAATTAAAAACCTCAAATACATGATATTTTTATCCATTTTTTCTAAGTAGAAAAATAGTACAAGTTCAACGACACTATTATAAAGTTCAACAACACAAACAAAACCTAAATACTTAAGCATATAGAACAAATAATAAATAAAATCTTACAGCATAAAACTATTAATCTTCTACTATGATTTCCTTTTTAATATTAACATTATGAGCTTGCAGCACCGCAATGGCCTCATCAACTCTGGCTTTCAATGATTCCTCGTTTTCTATGAGATGAAGCAGTTCAGAATTATCAATTTCTAATAACATTCCTGTAATTTTAGCAGCAGTGTCAGGATACTTTTTGCCTACTATATTATAAAGCTGTTGTCCAATTATTTGCTTCTGTTCTTGTGGAGAAGCGTTACTCAGCATCCTACAATTAACTGGATGTACCGGATCTCCGCCATTGCCGATACTTGACTGCACGGGACTGATAGAGTTATTTGTAGAGTTAGTATACTTGGTGGTAGGTCTAGGTGTTGTCTGTTGACCAGTAATAGGTCGTGGATTGGCAGAATTGCGGGCACTAACTGAAGTTCTAGAGGTAGCTCTATGTGGAGAATTGAGTAATGCTAAGTTGTATGTGCCATTGGGTCTGATATTACTAGAGACAGGGGCCCAACGTGAGTTAGGTCTAATATGGTTTATGGAATTGATGTGATTGAAAAACCTTGGTGCTTGGGCGACTGTTGGAAACAAGAAAGGTGGTGTAGTTGTAGGGAAAGTTAGACCATTTTGAATTCTTAATGCTTGTGCTCTTTGAAGATGCTGACTGTTCAAGTATGCTCTGCGTTCCTCTTTTCTTTGAGCTAGACCCACATAAAGAGGTTTATTTCCAATCATTTTCCCATTCATTTCAGCAACAGCTTTGGTAGCTTCTTCTGTGGATGTAAAGCAGACAAAACCAAAACCTTTGCTTCTACCATTCTCACGCATTACTTTAGCTGAAGTAATAGTACCATAAGAAGAAAATTCTTTCTGTAATTTTTCATCGTCGAAACTATCATCCAAATTTTTAATATATAGATTAACACCTTGATAGAGTTCATACCGTTCTAAGCGAATTTTTTCAAACTTTTTCTTTAATTCATTAAACCGCTCTACTTTCTTCTGTGCTCTTGCCAAATATAACACTTTTCCATCAAACTCTTTACCATTATATTCTTCAATAGCTGCATGTGCCGATTTTGCGTCTCTGTAAGCCACAAACCCAAATCCTTTAGATGATCCATCCATATGTCTCATCACCACACAACTTGTTATTTCACCAAACTTATTAAACATATTAAAAAACTTATCATCAGACATAGTAGATCCAAAATTTTTTACATATATATTAGTAAATTGTTTGGCACGTTCACCAAGCTCTTTCTCTCTTTCCACTCTTGGAATAAATTTTCCAGCATACACTTTCTTACCATTGAGTAACATACCATTAACTTTTTCTATAGCCTTCTTTGCATCCTGTTCATTTTCAAAATGCACAAACCCATAACCTTTTGAATGACCAATATCATCTATAGCAACTTTGCAGCTGAGAATATTTCCAAACGCTGAAAACGTATCATACATTGCCTTATTGTCAATACTTCTATCTAAGTTCTTAATAAATACATTGCCAATTCCAGATTTCCTTAGGGAAGGATCACGGTGACACCACATTATACGAATAGGTTTACCTTTCAGTAAATCGAAGTTCATGGTATCCATAGCTCGTTCTGCATCTATGGTCAAACTGTAGTTTACATAGCCATACCCCAGAGACTGCCTGGTTCTTTCATCTCGACAAATTCTAAGTGAAAGAACTGGACCTACCGTATTAAACTTTTCGTACAAAACTGCTTCAGTAACGTCTGGATGAAGATCTCCAACATAAAGAGATCCAGATGGATAAACTACTCCTAGGAAAGCACTCATTTTTGTCCTTACAGGTATTAATAAACTGTTCCACTTATTGATTATAAATTAGCTCAAAGTACCTATTTTTTGTTAGGATTTTTTAAACAAAAATTATTTATTGTGTTCTTGGAAACAAATAAAAATATTTCATGTACCACTAGAAACCAATGTGTTTAAATTTGAAGTTTTTGCCTTCAACAGTATAGCGCAGACGCTAGCAAAATGGTTGACGTTTATTGGATAAATTATATTTTCTGTCATGCGCCATTACAAAAGTTACGTACATTTGGGTCTGTTCCTGTTGTCATGTTTAATCAGTTTTCTTAGTTCATTTACATAATGGTTTAATGATACACAAAACTATTGGTTGTTAAAATAATTTTTAATAATTACTTTATAATGTTGTACAGTGAGTACGTAATATTTATTAGTTCATTTTGGACCATTTTTAAAACTACATACATTATTAAAAATAAAATGTTTTCTATATAATATTTTCTTTTAAGCAAGATTAAAATACATCAACATGGCAACGTAGGTCTATTCTTGTTTGTTTGTTTAATGTATTTATCTCATAATTAAGTATAGATCAAAAAAAGATAAAAGATATTTCCTAAATGGTTCTGTAATTGGGTAAAATTATTTATTCCAAACAAAACTTTGGTTTGAGCACGTGGTAAAAGTTGCTAACTTCATTGTTTAAAATTAAAATTGTCTGTAGGTCTAGGTTAGTTTCAGAAATCAAATTTAAAAACATGAGTAGAAAACGTAAATTAAGTAAAAATAAACAAGAAGAATTTGAATTTGATCCAATACCGAAACATTTAGTAGTGGCTCATTTAAAAGACCAAGAAAAACGATTAATTATCATTCTGGAAGGTGCACAATTGGAAACAGTCAAGGTAATGTCGTATGTTATATACAATTTTATTTATTTATTAATGATTATTGAATTTAGGTTAGAGATAAGTTTGAATTACTAAATTGTGATGATCATCTCCACATTTTAAAGAGTAATAATCGAGATATTGGATCTTGCAGACCTGATATAACACATCAATGTTTGTTGATGTTATTTGACAGCCCTCTAAACAGAGCAGGACTTTTACAAGTTTATGTCCATACAGCTAATAATATTTTGATAGAAATTAATCCACAGACTCGGATTCCCAGGACTTTCAAACGGTTTTCAGGATTAATGGGTATGTTTATTTGATTATTAATTTAAATTTTCCCCCAGTATCTGCACTACTAGACTAACTATACTGTTTCCATATTTACATTGTTTTGTTTTTAGTTCAACTATTACACAAATTCTCTGTAAGAGCAGAGGATGGTCCCAAATTACTAAAAGTAATTAAGAACCCAGTAACAGATCACTTGCCAGTTGGAGTTAAGAAAATTTGCACTTCCTTTTCTGCTAAGAAAATACATAATTGTAAAGAGCTGGTACCTAAGAATGAAGAACCAATAGTTTTTGTAGTAGGAGCTTTGGCTAGGGGTAATGTGGATGTAGACTACACTGAAGATACTGTTTCTATTAGTAATTATCCTCTTTCAGCAGCGTTAACTTGTACTAAGTTATGTTCTGCATTTGAGGAAGTATGGAATGTGATTTAAGTAAAAAAATTGTATTTTTTTTATTTATTAAGATAATATAGTTGATAAAAAACTTACATTTTTAAATTTATTGTCTCTGATACCTACAAAGAGATTATTCTAAAGATAGTGTATATAAAATACTGAAGACTGTGTTTATTTCACAAACAAGACATTATTTTATATTATTTTTACTGGGAATAAGTCACAATTTTACTTTAAAATATGTTTATTTTGATGTTTCGATTTCCACTTCTGATATCAAAAAATGATTTCCAAAGTGGGAATCGAAATGTCAAAATAAACTTATTGTAAAGTAAAATTATGGGTTATTTACAATAAAAATAGTAAACTGTATTAATATGCCACAAGATAGCTTCAGAACAATATTAACATTACTTCAAATATATAATAATATATTTCAACTCATATTAAGTGAAGTGTAATGAAGCATTAATACAAAAGTATAATAAAATGAAAAAAGAACCTATGCATACCATTTCACAACACACAAGACTAAGTTATCTGTGGTAAAAAAGAACAAATTAATGGCTATAAATGGTACTAAATTTGAAAAACATTGCGCTTATATTCATTTCTCTAAATGGTAAGTATTCTACTCTTGTATTACTCAGTTGTAAAAGATACTTGGTGTTTCTGACATTGGTCCCTTTGTATAAATAGCATATTTGAGACTAAAAATTGGATTTTATATGTTGCGAAAGATTTTTAGAACAAGACAAGAATTGAAATATGCAGCAACTGGGCCACAAAGATAAATACATATCAAATTAGCTATAAACTTTCATTCTGGAATGTAGGTTCACTTTATAAAACTGTTTTATATTAAGTTCTCCCTGTGCAATCAACAATTTGGATCCATTTTTGTTTAATATAAAGTTAAAGGTAGGTATAGTTCTTCCAAAGTAATATAACAAGAAAATATGAATTAATACCAGGAACCAGATATATTAAAACATTAAGAGAGGATGTCCAAGGTGGATAATGCATGTAATGCGGAGGAAACAAAATGACCCAGCTAGAAAAACGATCCTTGATAAACCCATTGGTCAGAGAAGAAGAGGAAGAACCAAATTAAGGTTTCTTCATAACATTAATGAAGACATGAGAATATGTACTTGGTGGAGGGAAGGCGATGGATGGGCATGACTAGAGAGTAATTCTTGAGATTAATAAAATTTATATAAAGATCTTAAGTATATTGTTTTTCATCTATAACAGGAAAACAGCACATTAAAATTACCTGTTTTCAAATAATCCATTAAAAAACAATACATTAGTAAAAATATGTCTTCAAAAGAGTTTTGAATGAATGGTTATTGGGGCAACAGGTATAATATGGTCAACAGATCATTTTTTTAATATAAGAACTCGTAGGTTGTTTTTCAAATTGTTCCCGAAAAGAGCCAACAAATTTTTTTAAACAGTACCAACATTTTTTAAACATATGATGTAAAATAACACAAATTTAACAGTATATTTTTTCCAGTAAATATTAAAAAAGGGTAAAATAGACGGTTATGATATTTCTTTCCAATTATTTCTAATTAGCAAAATAGTAAAATATAAGTAATAACTTTAACAACATTATTATAGGTCCATTAACACAAAAAGCTGAACACTTATGAATATAACAAACCATGAATAATATCTTACAGCATAAAACTATTAATCTTCCACTAGGATCACCTTTTTGAGATTAGCATTATGAGCTTGGAGCACAGCAATGGCCTCGTTGACTCTGGCCTTCAATGAATCCTTGTCTTCAAGAAGATGAAGAAGTTCAGAATTATCAATTTCTAACAACATTCCTGTAATTTTACCAGAAATTTCAGGACACATTTTATGAACCATAGTAAACAGCTGCTCCCCAATTATTTGCTTCTGGTCTTGTACATTTGGAAGACCATTATTTGGAATGTCTCCACCATTACCAACTCCTGCTAGTGCAGGCCTGGCAGAGTTGTTGGAGGAATTGGTATACTTGCTGTTAGGCCTTGAAGGTGCTGTTTGTTGGCCAGTAATAGGTCTTGCGTTGACAGAATTGCGGGTATTAACAGAAGTTCTAGATGAAACTCTATGTGGAGAATTTATTAATGCTAAGTTATATGTACCATTGGGTCTGATAGCATTGGAAACAGCAGGCCAACGTGCAGGTGGTCTAATATGGTTTATGGAATTAATGTGATTGAAAAACCTTGGTCCTTGGGCAACTGTTGGAAACAAGAAAGGTGGTGTAGTTGTAGGGAAAGTTAGACCATTTTGAATTCTTAATGCTTGTGCTCTTTGAAGATGCTGACTGTTCAAGTATGCTCTGCGTTCTTCTTTTCTTTGAGCTAGACCCACATAAAGAGGTTTATTTCCAATCATTTTTCCATTCATTTCAGCAACAGCTTTAGTGGCTTCTTCTGTGGATGTATAACAGACAAAACCAAAACCTTTGCTTCTACCATTCTCACGCATTACTTTAGCTGAAGTTATCGTACCATAAGGGGCAAATTCTTTCTGTAATCTTTCATCATCAAAACTATCATCCAAATTTTTAATGTATAGGTTAACACCTTGATAGAGTTCATAACGTTCTAAGCGAATTTTTTCAATTCTTTTCTTTAATTCATTATACCGCTCAATTTTCTTCTGTGCTCTTGCTAAATATAACACTTTTCCATCAAACTCTTTACCATTATATTCTTCAATAGCTGCATGTGCCGATTTTGCCTCTCTGTAAGCCACAAATCCAAATCCTTTAGATGAGCCATCCATATGTCTCATCACCACACAACTTGTGATTTCACCAAACTTATTAAACATGGTAACAAATGTATCATCAGACATAGCTGACCCAAAATTTTTGACATATATATTAGTAAATTGTTTGGCACGTTCACCAAGCTCTCTCTCTCTTTCTACTCTAGGAATAAATTTACCAGCAAACACCTTTTTACCATTGAGTAACATACCATTAACTTTTTCTATAGCCTTTTTTGCATCCTGTTCATTTTCAAAATGCACAAACCCATAACCTTTTGAATGACCAATATCATCTATTGCAACTTTACAGCTGAGGATATTTCCAAATGCAGAAAATGTATCAAACATGGCTTTATTATCAATACTTCTATCTAAGTTTTTAATAAACACATTGCCAATTCCAGATTTTCTTAGGGAAGGATCACGATGACACCACATTATACGAATAGGTTTACCTTTTAGCAAATCGAAGTTCATGGTATCCATAGCTCGTTCTGCATCCATTACCTGATTATAGTTTACATAGCCATATCCCAAAGACTGTCTGGTTCTTGCGTCACGACAAACTCGAAGCGAAAGAACTTGACCCACCCTATTAAACTTCTCGTATAGCACTGCTTCAGTAACATCTGGATGAAGATCTCCAACATAAAGGGATCCGGATGGATAAACTACCCCTTGGAAAGCACTCATTTTTATCCTTACAAATATTAATAAACTGTTCCACTTATTGATTATAAATTAGCTCAAAATAACTTATTTTTTTTTTGTTAGGATTTTTTAAACAAAAATTATTTATTTGTTTTATATTCTTGGAAACGAAATAATAAATACTTTTCAAGGACCACTATAACTTTGGCGTTCAAACTTACAAAATGAAGGTAGATTACAATGGCGCAGACGCCAAGTAATGGGCTGATGTTGATTGGATGAATCATACACATCATGTCATGCGTAATAGAACTGTCCACGATTAGAATACTTCAAAATACTCCAATAGATGGCGGCTGCATAAATTAATTTTATTTATATTTTATAAAAAGAGAGATTTAGTCAGTGGCGGCTGGTGTGGTAAAATTTTGGGTAGGTCAAGCCAGCAAATTACATCGTAAATTTAGCGCCATATTCTGTGAATCTTTTATTATCGCCCAATTCCAGTTATTAAAACTTGTTTCTCAAAAATCTCAAAAAAAATGGTTCTAAATTTAGTTTTAGCTTTCCCTAAAAAACTTTGATCTCCGTTATTAGATGAACTACCATGTAAAATATCAAGTTCACTACGACTTAAGATGGGTTTAGAATTGGTTTTCGCTAACAAAAATGTAGAAATGGTTATAAAATGTAAGTTCATTTCTCCAGCTCTTTAACATTGCAACACTTCTGGACACTGATTGGCACACAATTGAACATCATCATTTTTCTTCTGCAAGATGTTGTATAAGAGCTGTTTGTTGAAATATATCACTAAAAATACAAATTCCAATTCCTCCAACTTACGTTTAAAACCATCTGCCTGTCTAATTGATTTTACATTTAATTCTGGGCATTCATTATGTCCTGAAAGACTTGTAACATTTTTTTCTTTCTTGTGACACAGCATATACTACTTTTGAATTCCATCTTACTTCACTATTTGTGGTAATTCGTTTTCCAAGATTTTATTTAAAATGGACGATTGGTGAAAATAAGCTGGAATACCTCGAAGCGTTGAGAATATTTTGACTGTTGTAATGTTGGAGCAACTTTGCTGTAAAACTAACTTCAGGAGGTGAGCGAAACAATGGGTAAATATTGTTAATGGTGCAGAATCTGTCACTAATTTTTGAAGTTCATTAAGTTGTCCCTACATAACACTAGCTCCATCGTAGGTTTGAGTAATTAATTTAGCTTTACAGTCAAATTACATACATCAAAATACATCTAAATTTAAAAAATTGAATCACAACATTGTTTACAGTTCTAAAAAGATTCAGTTATTAAAAAGTATTAAGAATTAAAATATTTTATTTTCTACAAAAAAATATTGTGCAAGAGTAAGATTTGCTCTCTAATTTTATAAAATGTAACAATTTAAGGTTAAGTATTCTATGCAGATTACCACGCGGCATTTACGAAAATATGAAAAGTTGCATTTTTGTGGATTGAGCCCCACCCTTTTATATTTAGAAGCAGTAAAGTTTGCGCCGTGGTCGGTATTTTTCGCAATTCTTTAGGTCAAACACGCACAAATAAAAATGCTTTCCCTGCAATTTTTTTATTAAATAAGATAAATGGTATTATTTAAATGTTCGTTCCAAGATTTCATCATGGAATACTGTTTATTTGCACAGTTCAATCAATAATTGTGATACAAATGAATTTGAAGCGTTTTACGACCAAAATGCTTATCTCATCACTCGTACTTTGTAGATATCCCTAAATATTATAGCCTCTCTCTTCAGTTTTAACCTCTTGTAGGAAGTATAGTGCTCCTCGTTATACCGTGTATGGTCCCGTTTCCATAGATTTTTGTCTCTGGTATTTGTAACTTCGTGTGATCTGGTCAATTCATCTCGTTGGAGATCTTCGGTTTTTTACTTTCCCTTGAATGATAGTCTCCCCATATTGTCTATGTCTTACCTCATGAGATTTAAATTGTTGGATTTTGCAGTTGTACATTTCAGTAACGTCTATCTTTCTCCTTTCTTATTGTCGTACCGTCTAAGATTCGTATTCACATGTCAGTATTGGAAATATTAATGAGTTTAGCAATGTTATTTTTAGGGTTTTTGAAATATTGGGGCCTTTTCATATTTTGGTCATCTTTCTCATAGCGATCTGGAACGTCTTTGTGTTTTGATCAATGATCTAGGATAGAAGAATGAGTTTACAACATAAAACAGGTCAGTTTTGGTTATATGTCGTATACCGTTTTTTGCAGTTATATTCAACCAGCCGTACGAGATCAATCAGGTCTTCTTTACTGTAGACTCTATCGTCGGCAAAGCGTTTATTTTTCGGCTATTGAAATGCCTTTTCCCATCCTTCAAGTGCTCTCCTCATATTATTTTCTCCGTAGGAAAATGATTTTGCAAACATGGACTTGGAAGAATTTTGGTTAACCTACTTTCCTGTTTACCTAGAAGTGGCTTTAGTATTTGCTAAGTTATTAGTCCAGTTTTCATCCACATATCTTTGCGAATCTGGTTTTTCTGCATTGGCGTATCTAAAATCAAAATACCGTTCAAGGCTGGATGTTCAAAGTGACTTGAGGTGTGCTCTGACACAGTTTCAACCGAATATAGAAAAACTTGACAAGAACAGACAATGCCAACCCTCTCATTGAAAGTGCAAATATTTAAATATTACGAAGATAAACACACTATTATAATCACCTGTCACTTTTCAAGTACAAAACTTACATTTGCTGCGGCTGAATCATATTACTGATCTTCGCCATATTACTATCTTAGTAAACTCTAGCTCTACTTAGCTAGGAAAGAGACTGCCAGACTGTGGATGTGGCTGAAAATGTTGTGATAAGCTCAGTTTGTTTCTAACGCATCAAAAAAGTTGTTATCTCGCTGCTGTTTTGAAATAAAATAAGATTATATATTATTTGCTTTAATCAATTTTAATAAAAATACAATATGTTGAAATTTGTATGCATTTCTTAAATACATGTTCGGTTTTTTAATAGTTTACATTGTTAATCAATCTAAAATTAAAAAATATTTACAAAAAATCTACAAGGGGTTCCCAAGCAAAGTGTATCAACTAATATTAAAGATTTTAATTTAGATTTTCAGTCTCATTTAAGCTACTTTGCACATATTTCAATAAATTTGTACAGCCAGTATTAAATACAATAATTCAGATCGAGAAATCAATTACACAACTAGACTATATTCCAACTAGCATTGCAACGTAAATAAACATAAAATTCAACTAAAACTTGTTCAAAAATTAAATACAGCAAAACTCACGATGCGATTTTGTATCAGTGACTTCATACTCAGTTTACTAGGTAAATTAGAGTCATTAATTTGTCACACAGCGTGCAAGTATAAAGATAGAAGTATGTACCGGTATAATGGACCACCTGTCGTCACAACAGGCGGGATTTTAAAAAGCCTTTTTAAACATTTCTAATTTGTATGTGTTCCAAGAAGTTGGAAATGCTTAAAAATAATCATGCACTTGGTTTTCTTACGTTCATTTGTAGTCCATATTTTACACTGACTTGATGTAAATCTATTCACTAAGTGTTGCAGTGCTTCTAGACTGACAAAAACACCGGTTTCGTTTGTGAATCTTATGTTGTTCAAGATTTTTCCGTTTTTATGATATACCCTGTTGTTTCTCTGATATTGCTTTCTTAAAAATAGCTTCGCTGTACAGCTTGAATAACAATGGGGACAGCACGCAACCCTGCCTAACACTTCTTTTGATTTCTATAGTTTCAGTATCGACATTTTCGATTCTAACCTTTGCTTTTTGATTCAAGTACAGATTGACAATAACCCGTATATTTCGACTATCCACATTCTTTTCTTTTAACAGTTTTACGAGTTTCTGATGTCGTACTCTATCAAAAGCCTTTTGATAATCTGTAAAGCAGACATAGAGATCCTGGTTCATATCTAGTCGTCTTTGTGCGAGAACGTTAAAAGCGAACAGAGCCACACTCGTTCCTAGTCCTCCTCTGAATCCAAACTGGGTGTCATCTAGATCTTCTTCTATTTTTTTGTATAGTCTTCCATGTATTATTTTAAGAATATGACTTATGAGGAAACTGTTCTGCAATGGGAGCATTCTATCACATGTACTGACTTTGGTAGTGTTACAAACATGGACAGCAACCAATCTTCGGGTACTACTACTCTTGTATATACTTTGTCGAACAGGTCTAAAATTATATGCAGTGTTTCTTCGTCAATGCATTTAATTAGCTCAGTGGGTATCTGATCTAGGCCCACTGATTTTGCGGTCTTGTTTTTGGTTTTGGTTTTGTTTTTTCCTATGGTTCTTCTTGTATCATTCCATCATCGCGAATAGTTTCATTATGTATTCTTGCCAAAATCTTAGTTTATCTTTGATGTCTTATATCTTATGGGACAAATACATACAAAATATAATTGTTTGGAAAGCTTTTCTAAGCCCCGCTCATTGTAACATCAAACTTAGGTAGTTCATTCGTGCTAAACTGAATTATCTTGTTTCATAATATTTTTAGGCTTATTAGATAAAATTTTCATTTATTCTAATGAAACCTGGCTGTATTCTTAAAGGCCAAAATTGTTCTTACAATTAAACAGATACTGGCAACAATTTTATTATCTGAATTGATTAATAAATTTACTACAAAAATATGCATGACAGTTAAAAAATCATTAACCTAAGAAAAACTGTACAAACCATTTACAATATTAAATTTTTAATACACTAATAACGGCTGACGTCATACAAGGGGCGGGGCCTACAAATATTTTCAAAGAAATTACTAAAAACGGTAATAATTCTTATTTTACTTTCAGTTTATTAGGTTTTTGGATGATAGGAGTCCTATTCCTTTAGCTGATTTTTGTTTAGCAAGAATCGTATCCTTGTTGACTATTTCTGTTCAACGCCGTTTTTTGTTATTTTCACACGGCGTTGCTTCATTGTTTACGTTTATTTTATTGAGAATAGACTTATTTATATGTCACAATTTACTGTTAGAGAATTTCTAAACAGTTATTTTTACAATCGCAGCGTAGGATGTCATCATAAAGCGCAACGGTCTTTAAGAGCACTAGTTTGCGCAAATAAAAACATTTTTAG